TACAGGCCTGGTTCCTGGATCCCGATTCTTTCCCTGTTCTGGCTTCTGGAAGTATCTATACTCCTAGGCTACAACTTTCTATCTTCCACTTGTCAGGGCTCTGTGCTTGTACTAGGGCCACTAGAGCATCGAGAATAAACCCCTTCCTCGTAGACAGCTACAACTAACTGCCCTTTGTGTGCCAGGCCCCAGGGTCAGGACAGGACTTCAGGGCCCTGTAAATGGAGAACAAGATTCAGAACAGAAGGAGACACAACCACTATTAAACAAAGAAATAGCAATTGCTTTTTGGAAACTCAAGCGCTGATCTCAGAGCAGAAAGCAGAGGGATCACTAAAAATCTAAAGAAGGCCTGTGTGCTCTCTTTCCCTGGCCACTTCACATCTGTGTACCTGAGGAAACCCATAAGCAGAGGGTTAGGGGAGCAAAGCCAGTGACCACAGGTTAGCCAGAGACTACCTATAGGGAGATGAGTGTCATCATGAGACAGACACTGAAACAACCCTGACGAACATGCTACATGGAAGCATGTGTCTCTCCTTCTCCACACTCTTTAATATTTTAAAAATGGTCTCAATAGCATTAATTTTATAATCATGGGAGAAATCCTTTAAAAACTGGTTTTGGGAGAAGGTCCTAACTGCATTAAGACATCATGATCCCACTAAGAGACTTTGGGTGGGAAATGCCCACCACACATTCCAGACCCACTCAGAGTCTCTGCTCTGACCTAGAACACTCAGAACCTTCCAGAAATAGGATTCATGGGTTATGGGTCAAGAATGACTCAAGCTTTTGGATGCTTTCAGCACAACGTAACTGCAGGAGTCAGGGTTTAAACCCAGGTGGCAAGACTAGCAGAAAGAAGGTGGAGGCCAGAGGCATGTCTTTGCAGCACTGGTAGACTGTGAAAACCTCTAGAAGATAGAGTACTGGGGTAGGGCAGGAGCACTAATGGCAGAAGCCAGGTCAGTCTGACTTGTAAAGTCAGCATTGGTGTGGCCACAGCAGGTGACCTGCAGGCAGATCTGTTAGTCTGAGGCTCCAGGTTCCTGAGGCAAGCAAGGCATTCCTTGTCTCTACTACAGAGGCATCACATCGGGCCACGCTTCCTGAGGTAAAAATGTGATGAGCAATGTTTGTGATCGATTTTAAGAGACCAAAGGGATGTACATTTTCTTAGAAAGGCTGCTGATCTGCAGATCCCAGGCAGGCAGGCAGGCAGGCAGGCAGGCAGGCAGGCAGGCAGGCAGGCAGAAGAGAATGTTGATTGTGCCTATAGAAGCTAGCTCACCTACCTGCAGTTCTTGCTACCCTGGGACTGTAGCAATGTGGAACCACCTCAACATGACAGGGACACCCACACAGACAACTTGATAATACCCCATTCTAGTGTTCCACAGGTTACGTAGGGCCTGCTGTACTCCTGTGGCAGGTCCCATTCAGAATCCCAAGCAGGTACCACAAAGCAGGAAACGAGACCCAGGACATTTCAGGAACTAGCCGGGGTGGGGTCGGGTGTGTGTGTGTGTGTATGTAAGGGTGCAGTACAGAGGGTGAGGACGATGCAGAAGGAGTGTTTGCCTGCCTGCCAACAAGACGTGGACAGCCACCGCTGTGCTCCTTGGGCATATAGCCAGTAGGAGGAGGCTTAACAAGCATTCACAGATGTTCCCACTTCCTTTCTGTAACATGAAGCCCCAGCAGGTAGGACTAGGCAGGGAAGGAGCTGCCCATGCACAGGAGAATGTCCCCATATCCTGAACTTGGCAAGTCACAGCTCCCAAAGAAGCTGGGCTCTCCCAGCATGCCCGAGGAACCAGAAAGATTCACAGATTTCTCAGAACTTGACCAGGAGGCAGCAACTCCAAGAACAGAGACTGTGAACTGAGGCACAGACAGAAGATGCAACCAGCAGTGAGGTTTGGTTCACAGATTTAAAAGAGAAAAGGAAGTATAAGAATCGTGGTGTCTGGGCTTGGTACCTATAGCAGGATACAACATAAGGCAACAGGAAAGGGAGCAGTAATGGGACAGGGGACAGTACAGGGGGCAGGACTGGGAGAGTGTGGACCTGTACAGTAGAGGGGACAGTGCAAGCAAGGAACAGAGACTGCGCAGGTGGAAGGGACAAGGGCCAGTGGGAAGAAGGAACAAGCAGGAGAGAGGATGATGTAGGAAGGGACAGTGGAGAAAGAGGAGGAGGAGAAGTAGGAGGAGGAGGAGGAGGAGGAGGAGGAGGAGGAGGAGGAAAGAGAGCAGAGGCAGAAAAATAACAAAAAAGAACGGGCAGTACAGGGACTTGGGACAATGAGGGAGGTGGGGGCAGTGCAGGAGCAGGAAACGGTGCGGATGGTGGGAACAAGATAAAGAGAGACAAGGAGGGAGAAACCAGTTCGGTGGAGCGAACAGTTGGGGGGCTGTGTATGGAACTAGGACAAGGGACAAGGGAGAAGGGAAGTAAGAGAAAAGGGATAAGGTAGAGCGGGCTGCGTGTGGCAGTCGGAGATTGTGGGAGGAGGGGTTGGAGTCAGGGGCTCCTAGGAAAGCCACTGTGGCACAATGAAGGTAAAGGGCCCCTAAAGGGCCATCCAGGAGCCCGAGGCCTCTCCCAGTCCGCCGATGGCGCACCACTGGCCTGCGGCCGTCCATTTGTGCCGCTGCTGCCCTGCCGCCGGGGATCCACAGCATTTTTCTTAATCCATTACAGGTAAGAAAGATGAAATTTGGGGCACAAGTGGGCCAGGACTTGGGGTTCCTACATGGCTCCCCTTTGACCTCTGGATAGAGTCAGAGAGTAGCGTCCACAACTTCATGGCAGATGCTAAGGCTCTGTGGGCTTTCCGGTTCTCTGAGGAGGCAGCTTCACCTAGCACCATGGTTCTCACCAGCCCTTTCCCCAACTCTGGTTCTGTCCCAGTACCAAGCAGCCTAGGCCATGGAAACGTTCCCACAAGGAACTGGGTATCCACCTAGACATCCCTGTTACATGTAAGGAGTTGTCTATAAGGGGTATCAGCACCTCTCAGCCTCTTGGGCCCTTCCCCAGCTCCAGCCAAGGCTCTATCAAAGTGACCAATTTTCTCACCTGTTGGGAAGCCCAGTTCTCTCTCATATTGTGCAAAGGGCCTCACTCCCAGGTATGTCAAAAGCTAAGGGCTCCTACGAGTTTGCCATTCACTTCAATCTAGTAAGGCTGACCCCAATCTCCTGTACAGACAGATGGTAGCCAACACACCATTCCTGTTCTGCAGCTTCCTGTAGGCTGAGAGGAGAAACTAGGAGGGGCTCAAATGGGCATGGCTTCTGTGTGACCTAGTCCTGCTAACATAAGGTATCATAATCACCAGGCACAGTAGGGCCCAGCCCATCACAAATTGCTGCTTCACGTCCTCACCTATCGGCACCTGCTTCTTGTCGTGACCTGCAGACCTATACCAGGTCAAGTTGAGCTGGCACACACGCTAGAGTGGTGCACACCTACACTGGCACACCAGCCTGGTGCTCACTGGCCGTATCAGTCTCTCTTTGGTCTCAGAAACTGCAAGGGAAGAAGCACCTGGTGAATAAATAAAAACGATTGGGTCTGTTTACTCCTCGAGGGGGAGGGGATCACCCAACATGCCTCAAGAACTAGGAAGGGCCACTGAGTTCTCAGAACTTACATAGGAGACAGCAACTCCCAGGAATTGATGAGGTCCCAGCTAGGACTCTAGCAGAATAGGACCTATGAGCTGAGACACAGAGGTGAGATGCAGCCCATGCCAAACTCCCTATACTGGAGTGAATTTTTTTTGTTTCTTTTTAAAGTGTGTGTGTGTGTGTGTGTGTGTGTGTGTTCGCGCACATGCGTGCAGGTGCCTGTGGAGGCAGAAGAGGTGGCTATAATGACCGCCCTGAGTTGGTGTTATAGACAATTACCAGCCACCCAACATGAATGCTGGGGACCAAACAGGTCCTTTGTAGGAGTAGCAAGTGCTCTTAACCACTGAGGATCTCTCCGGCCCCCAGGATGAGTATTCTTCCTCCAGATCTGATGTTCACTGGAGCCTCTGACTGTGACCTAGTTGAAAATGGAGTCATAATCATGTGAGGATGAGGTCACCAGGGTGGGCCCCAAACCGATGACCTCTGTCCTCTGAAGACAGAAATTTGACACAGACACAAGGGTGGGCCCCAAATCGATGACCTGCGTCCTCTGAAGACAGAAATCAGACACAGACGCATACAAAGCAGTCATGGGGCAGGGAAAGAAACACGGAGTAAAATGGTCGCAGGGCAAGGATGCCTGGCGTCACCAGAAGCTAAAATGCCCTTCTTGGAATCTCCAGTGGAAATATGGTCCCGCTCATACCCACTCTGGCTTCCAGGATTGTACAAATTAAAGCCTGATGTTTAGGTCTCAATTTGTGGAGATTTTTTTTTTAACCACAGAAAAAAAACCTCACACCCTCTGAAGAAGTAGGCTAGGTCCCGTGGTACCCAAAGATTTGCTCTGTGCATTTGGGGAAACCTGGGGGTCAAAGGACAAGTACTGGCTCAGTGGAAAATGTGTGGACAGATGCAGAAGGTAACGTGGCCTGGTAGGAGCAGGGGAGGAGCATGTACCTAAAGCTAGGCAGCACCATGCAGAATTTCATGGGAGAAAGAGGTCTTGTGATAGCAGTGCCACAGCCGAGCAGAGAACCCTCAATGCAGGTACCCATCTGCTCAGATCCTGGTCTTTATTCTCTGGAACCGAAGAAGCCTACAGTCTAGGAAAGTTCCCAACTGCAGAGATGGTCTTTAAAAATCAAGAACAAAATGAAAAGAAAATGAAAAAGTATTTGCCCCATACACTTCTATCACAAAGATGGCCAGGGTGAGTGGTAACCATGGAAACCCCTCAGCCATCACTGCGCACCAAACCTAGCTCCTACCAGACCAAATGCAGTGGCTAAAGTTAACTTTCTAAAAACACCATTAAATGGCACACCAAAGGCATCCTCAGATACAAGAGCTTGTTTGCTATGTACATTTCTTTTTTACAAAAAATATAATAACTTAGTTTGAAGTTTACAGCATTTCCAATGGGTCAGGGCATCCTTGACTGAGACCCAACAGGTCAGAGCAGCATGTACCTCCCCAGTTTGAGCACCAGGCTGGGCCCATGCCACCACCCTGCAGACTCTATCGGGATCTGATAGAGTGACTGAGGACACAAACTGTGGCTCATTTGAAGAACAGTACCATTTCACCCTGTAGGTCACTCCATCTTGATCTCACATGGGTTTATGCCCCTCTCCTCTGCATCCCTGTACATCCTTTGAAAGTCACTAAAGCGTGGGGCACACCCAAGCTGTGCCTCCCCAAAGTGCACATGTCCGGTGAAGAGGAATTCTCCATGCCCTGGCCGTACACCACACTCCAGCAGCGTTGTGACACGACCCAGCCAGTGGCCACTGCCCTCGGGAGCTGGCTGGAAGACCCTGCTCTTCTGCCGGTGGAGCCTGCTCACCCGCAGGGAGATGACGGAAGCTTGCTGCTCTGGCACATGGGTGACATCCTGGATGAAGCCTTGGACAACTGCAGAGGAAGGAGACAGAGGTCAGCAGATTTAAAGGGCACTGTCAACAGTGGCAGGCACACATAGCACATGTCAACTTGGGCATGTCCTCGGCTATCGAGATATTAGAAGCTGGACCTGAACCCACTCTGTCAGCCTTTGGAAAGCTCAGTCCATGATACTGACAGTGTCGGACAAAGGTATTCCACTGAGCATCAGCTAAATAACACATGCTCTTCAGGTAAGAACAAAAAATATAAGCAAAATGCTCCTCGGTTCTGGTTCCTATCAGGTATGCAGCGCAGTTCACAGGACAAGAATGATGTGAGGAGAAGGGACAGGGAATGACTTGTTTGCGGTGGTTGGTTGGGGCCTAGAAAGTAGAGAAATAAGGAGTCAAGATCCCACCGCGTGATAGTTCCTGGTTTTTGAATAAGAGTTTGAGTAGGGCCGGCTGGGCCTGAGTTTAGGGGAGCCACTAGTATGGTAGCGGTTTAGCAAAGACCATGACCAAGAAGAGCACCGTGCAAACATCCCTGACTCCAGAAAGGTCTCCAAAACCCCAACCATCTGGATGAAGAATGGGCAGAGCTCTGAGCTTGGGCTGGCACAGGGACACACCAGACTGCCCTCTGAACTATGTTCCCAGAGAATTTCTAAAAAGTTCCTGGGAATCTACGGACTCCCAGAGCCCCCAGGACGTTGTGAGCTGGTTTGTACAATGAGAACACACTGACACACCTAGACTGCAAACCAAAGCTCTGCCTGCATGCATGGTGTGCAGACTTAGCTTAGTGCACATGGTGCACTGCTCCCTGTGAGTCCAGGGTGAGGCCAGGTTAGGCAGCTTCAGCACTACCCCCCAACACACACACACAGGAATCGTTGCTGACTTGGGAAAGCCCTCAGACCCTGGAAAGACAACCACAGGAGAGACTTACCAAAGTCACTGGTACAGATGGCAAGGAGAACCTCAGTGTCACTGCATGGCCGACACGGGGCTGGGGAGGAAAGAACAGGGTGGATGATACAACCCAGACAACGCTGGTTAGTCATCGACCCTCCCAAGCCCTGACACCGCAGAATATAAAAGGCCTGCCTCCCTGCCCTACATCTGAGGACATATGTTAGGATGAGGCAAAGTCAAGGTGAAACTTCTGACCACTCTAACTCTACCCTGGAGGCGATCAGCAAATCAGCAATGAGGCACAAGACTAACTTCTCTCAAGCCAGACACCAATTCCAGGTGATCACTTAGTGGTCCTGGCTCATACTGTAGCCAAAATAACATGAGCCCAGACACCTCCTGTGTTGAGATTGTTGATGTAGTTCCAAATAAGCAACAACTCTACTCATTTAAAAACAAAACAACAAAACAAAATTGATATTAAATGACTATCACAATGCAAAACACCCCCAGCTGAACTAAAACCATGTGCCTATACCACCCAGCCAAGGTACCCTCCCCCCAGTTTGCACATCCACATCCTAAAACGACACGGGCATCCTACTGGAAAACAGACTCCTTACAGCAGTATGATGCCCTACTCCCCAGATCATAGCCCCAGTGGAGAATCTCACTCAGTCCATCTTCCCCAGGCATTTCCTACAAGAACCAAGGCTAAGAGTCTGCAAAGGAGGTGCTAATGTGAGTTGGGGGTGAATGGAGAAATCTGTCTGCTGTGGGTATGGAGTCTCGGGCTGGGGCCATCAGTTTAACCCTACCCTAGGCCTCACCGAGACTTGGGACAAGTTATCTATCAAAGCCCATCAAACTGAGTCCTCTTCGCAGAACTCAGGCTTGAAGCACTCAAAACCTGGAGCCTGGCATCTTACAGAGAGCCCAGAGATGCAGACACTCTTAGAATGAGCTACCCCACGGGTCAATTGCTTATACAGCCCAGTTCTCCAGAGATAGCCCTCTCCTGCCCTTTGGACCACCTCCCTTGATGTGGAACAGAAACTGTGGCTCGGCAGAAACTGTGGCTCAGCAGCTTTTCCACAGAGACTCAGAGTAGATTCAGGAAGATGGAAGCTTGTTATCTGCTGTGAATTATGTCTCAAGACTTCATGCTCAGTTTCCTGCTTGGGGCCAAGTTCTCCAAATAAACAGAAACCCTGAGGTATGAAGTCTCAGTAGATAAATTTCCCTGGGGCCATTCCCTTGCAAAGACTTTGGGGCAGCCATTGTCTTAGGAGAGCTTGGTCCTGAAGAAACTCAGGCTATCCACACGCCTGGAGGCCACACAGCCTGACCCAGAGCGCTGGTGACTTGGCCCCAGGGGAACCAAGACAACACTCGTGTGGGTGGAGGGCAAGCAGGCCAAGTGTTTCCAGGCCAACAGGCGTTCAGAGAAGCTTTATGAGGTTCTGAAAGAGTAAGCCTGCCACAGAGCCTTAGGGTTTACAGTGTCCCAGTCAAGCAGGGCTCTCTGTGGACCCTTGGGCTGGGTGTGTCTGGGGCCCTATCCTTTGGTCCTACCCCAGAAAGGGGGGCGGGGTGCCTCCCAGCCTCAGCACTTGCTGACTCACCCACCCACTCACCTGCCAGCACTTTGGCTTCTATTTAGTTATCAGAAAAGGGAGAAGCCGCAGAACAAGTACAACCTGTTGGCATCGGCGTAGCCCATCAGAAAAACAAGCACTCCCACCCCCACGTCAGCTTTACAGTCCGGAGACTTCGCTGAGGAGACCTGGATGCAGCCAGACTCCTGGAAGCTGCGGTTTGCTGGTCCCTTGGATGTCCACCCTCAACCCTAGTTGGCTTGCAGCTTGGGTCACCATAGTCCCCAGCACTGGGGGTTTACCTGACCACCAACTCTGAAGTTGCTGAGGTGTGTGGCTTCTGTAACATACTGTTCATCCTCATACTAACAAGGAACTAGTGGTTCATACTGGTGTGGGCAGACATGGGTTGGTCTGATCTGAAGCACAGACAGGGCCTGAGTACAGGAGAACATCTCAGTGCCTAACATTTTGGGCAACATTAGATTCAGAGTACAATACTCTGTGAAGTACACCCTGTTTGGCACCAGACCAGTGTCCACAGCAGGTACTGACCCTGGTGACCACAGCCTACCTAAGGGTCCCCTTCAGGATAGAGGGCAGCAGAGGCTAGGGAAAGAGTTGAAAGTTGGGGGCAAGAGGCCCCAGAAGCTACCCTAAAGCAACTCAGAGTTGAAAGCTACCTAAGTTGAACCAGGGCAGCAACTTGCAGTGGAAAGGATCTGAGGGGCAGGGATCCTAGGCCTGGGGATGTAACCTAAAACAAGTCCATGAGTTTTCCTTCTCTGTGAATCACATGGCTCAGACCTCAGGTGCTAGCTTCAGAGAACATGTAGAGGCCATCCATCCCCTTCAGTTGTGCTTGCCCTGGCTCACAGCTACTTGCAGGAGATGCTCCTTTGTCAGGTTAGTCAGCCTGCAGACCTGTACCAGCCTCCACGAGCCGGTGCCATGAGCTAGCTAGCAGCCCACCTGGAGGCACAGAGAAGTTCTAATTCTGAGCTTCACTTTTGCAGAAACTCAAAGTGGATGATAAAGACCTACAATTATTAAACGATCAAGTTCATAGCAACTGTAAAATGTTCTGGTCGCAGATGCCGGCATCACATTTCCTGGGAGCCACTTTGGAAACCAGGCAGGAAAGTGCATCAAAGAAATCAAATGAGGATAAAGAAAAAGAATCTAAGGGAGCCTCCTGAGGACACCTGAAGAGTCAGGCGAGGGCTCAGTATGGGTACAGCTGCCAAAAGCAGAGGAAAGCAGAGAAAGCAAACACAGGCAAGAATTGCTGGATGCTAGAAAAGTCTGCAGACCTTGCAAGTCAGACAAACTGGTGTTGGGGCAACACTGCCTAATGGGGACAGCCAGGATGACACATACAGTTCCAAAGCAAAAATCTTAGACACCAAGGCCCTTTAAGGTCCCTAGTACACTTTGGGACAGACGGTTCGTGCTGTGATTGACAGGAACAGAGCAGCAAGACTGGGAGCTGAGGTCTAGGCTCTTCACTGATGGCCACCACCAGGTTCCACCAGAAGGATGAAGACCCAGGGGTTCTCTGAACCCTTCATCCTCGCAAGGAAGTCAATGTAGACAACACCCTTCTTTATTCAGGGTTGGGAGAGGGTTAAGACACAAAATAATTACAAGGTAATTACAGTGACCTAAGAAATCACCAAGGCAGGAACCGACCAGAGGAACATGCCTCTTGTTCTTCGGCTTCCAGGACACAGCGCTTCTTTCCATTTCAAGACATGGCCATCGCTGGGCATGGTGGTACACATCTTAAATCCCAGCACTCGAGAGGCAGAGCAAGTGGATCTCTGTGAATTCAAGGACAGCCTGGTCTACCTAGCGAGTTTCAGGACAGCCAAAGTTACATAATAAAGAGACCCTGTCTCAACAAAACAAACAAAAAAGACAAAGCCATCACACCATCAGGGCCATGCCTGAACTCTGAGTCTCCCAAAGGGGCCCGGGCAGTGGGGCTCCATATAGCTTCTCAAGCCTATTAGCAACAAACAGATCAGGATTTAGAAAGAATAAGCAGACATGCTCAGAAGTAGCAGGCTCCACCCTGTGAGCCCTGTGAGCCAGTAACATCGATAGTGATGAAAAGTGTCCTGCTGTCCATCCCGTCAGCTGTGTGTCCAAAATGCCACTGTTGGCACCAACCCCCTCACTTTGCCTCTCCAGAGCAACGGCCTACACCATCAGCCTGCCAGGATGGAACGAAACGAGAACCCACATAAACTGTACCTGTTCCCTGGACCAGACAAACCCCACAGTCATTTCTCCCACATAGCTGAGCCAAGGGAGGTCAGCCTCCAGATGGAGTTTTATCTGTAGTCAGATGTAGGGCCTTTAGTATTCTGCCAGATTTCCCTAAGGGTCAGAGGTAGTGCCACTGCCCAGATATCCTGAGCAAGGCCACAGGGGCAGCAGATACAGGGCAAGCAGCCAAATCTGGCATCCCAGATGCAGAGTTCACCTCTCCTAGGACCGATCTGTGCCCCTGGACTGTACCCCACTGCCCTGGTCTTTTCCGTTCTAATGCAGCTCACAAGCCAACTACACAATCCTAGTGGACAAATACTGCAAACACTCTGGTAGAACTACCCTAGAGCAGTGACAGGCTCCCTCCTTTCTGGGTGGGGAGCAAGGCTCACGTGCACACGTATAGGTTTCCACACTGTTGCACACTCACACATTCTCTCATGCACTCTTATCTGGGTTCCAGCCCACGGCATCACTATTTTCTTGAGTCAGCACAAATGAGAGCTGATTCATCTAAGAGCTTGTCAGCCTCTGGCACAACCACCCAGGTCAGGTGCATTCTTTCTCCTCTGACTGATACTGCATTAACGCTGGCTTATATCTTATTTCTGAAACCGTACCAAGGCCAGAGCAGAAGAGGGAAAGACTGCCCCTGGCCATAGAGACCTCGGGGGCTGGCCCAATCTGAGCAGGGCAATGGCCAGCACTAACATTCCACATTACATACCCATTAATTAGGCATAAATAGCCCATGATCCCCATGCCCCAAGAAAGCCAAATGTCCAGGTTGAGACCATCTTAACCCTGAGACTTAGGTAGTGCTCCCTGGAAAGGGTGGCACCCAGCTCTAGGTAATACAGATGTCTATGACTGTTTTTAGGCAATCCTATGGTTGGGCCAGAGCTAATAGCCACCTTAGTCTGAGACCCTGTCCTGAGTTCTGATAGTCACTGTGTAGTAACTGGCACTGGCAAGGTGTGGAAAGTCACTGCAGGTTTGATTTCAGACATCCAGGGCCAAGCAGGTGTATGTTCTAGGATAGTGAGGGACCCCTGAGGCTCAAACACAGCAAAGTCCTAGACACAGGGGTAGCACGACATTTTAACAGGTTGACTGCCTTGTGTGCAATCCTGTGGCCTGAGAGGTGCATCGAGGACCGAATACAGCAGTACAGCTAAATGTCTATGCCAGGGCTACTGCCTTCCTGAACCCCAGGAGAACCTGAGGCCACTCAAGTGACCCCCACAGGTCTCCTTTCCTTAGCCTTAAAGTATGGACATTGAAGCCGCAAGCAGTAAGGAACAGAGAGGAGAGAAGACAGCTCTTAGGACCTATCAGTCATTTTCTTCTGTGACCGAAGAAATAAGACTCCGATGGAGAGACCTGCCTTACCCTAATGTGGGGTTCTGATGCTGGCATCTCTCTACTACCCACCCACAAAGTCACATGATCCTTGATGCAACTTGCCTGACATTCAGAAAAACATCTGCTTGAGTCAAAACAAAGCAAGCAAACAAAAACAAAGGCAAGCCCAGAGCTTCAGTTATTAGGCAGACCTATCACCTCATCTGGCATTCACCTGGTCTTGGAGAAATGCGTACCAGAACCTCATCATCAATCACTATCCAAAGCTGACCCTGCATTGGTTCCTGAGGCTGCTATTCTGTTCCAGTGGGGAGTTCCTCCCAGGCTTATCTACCTCCGTCCCTAGCAGGGACCTAAGGAGCCTCTCCATTTGGTCCCTGGCTCTATCTTATGGAGATGGAGCTGGGTCAACTGTGCTCTCTGATTGAGACCTTACATGATTTTCTCAATCCTGATTAATATCCATTCACAAAAGCCTCTGGGATATCACAGCTTTATACCATTCTGTTCTCCACCCAAAACGATTTCAAGGTTATGGCAGACACTAAAAACCCAAGCCAGTTTGTAGAAGCCCCATCTCAAATGAGTTGTAAAGGGTCCTTTAGGGATCAGATCATACACTACTCAGGGAACGTAGCCTCTCACCACCTCCCTTCCCTCAGGTCAGAATCTCCAGAAGCCTAAAGGTACACCACAACCAGAAGTCTTCTTAAGGGAGGTCTTGGCTGAAAAGACTGCATTAATTTTAAGGTTCGATACTCTTTGACCCTATAGTCCCTCAGCATGACAAAGGACTCATGGGACAAGCATTGAAGCCACAGACACAGGAATGTGTCACAGAGGTGAATAAAGGAGAGGGTAGGAAAAAAAATCAGAGTAACTATGCAAACCTCCACTGTTACCTGAGAAAAGGTAGCAGGACTAATGATTAGTTAACCCATGCTAGCCCTGAACAGAGTACTTACCAGACAGTACACGCAGGTCCAGTCCCCTCTGCCCACTCATCAGCTCATACTGGAAGCCTGTGGTCCTCCTGCTGATGTCCTGTTGGGGTGTTGCCTCCACAAAGAGGCCACCCTGTTCTAGGTTGAAGCATTGCACCTGGCCAGGTTCACCACCAATGTCCCGTACCAACAGTCTCAGTTCTCCAGTTTTTTCCAAATAAATATTGGCCCCAGAGGAGTCCCTGAAAGGCTTGATGCACACAGTGAGGTTCCTGGCAGGTGAGAAGGTGTTGGGCCGCAGGTTAACGATGAGCGCCCCAGTTGGGTACATCCACTCCACGGAGCCTGCCGAGCAGCGCAGGTAGACCTGCTCCACCTCCTTGCTGTGTGCTTCTCGGGTCAGCCCACTGTGGGAAGAGGGGACAGAGTCAGGCGACCTCACGGCAAAGATTCCCATTGCATTACCCCACACACAGTCTCACTCAGGAGCCATTTGCAATCACCTGATGTGTTCAGGTACCCACCGCTCTTGGCTTCCACTGAACCTACTCCAAGAGCTAAGCGGAGTCAGGTCAAAGCTCTGATGGTACAAGCCATGCTGGCTTCCCAGATCCTAGATCCTCCCCATATTGCACCACAGGGCGCCAGAGTCTTAGCTGGTTCCTTAGCCAAGGAAATGGAACCCGGAAGTTATAGCAGGGATGCTCTAGGTTTTCCAACACACGAAACAAAGCAGACCAGCAGGACCACTGCACCAGCTAAGGTTTCAAATCACTCAAGGAAGTGGAAGATGAGGATAAACCTTGCATGCAGAGATGCCACGCGTGTACTACATATGTAACAACATACTCCAGAGAGCAACTTACAAACCAGCTGGAGGAGTTAGCCGCAGGAAATAAGAAATTTCGATTTTCCTTAAGTCGGTGATCTGACCATTTTTTTTATTCATTTTCAAACCTGAATCTTCATGTCACCAATCATATTTTAAGAAAATAAACCCAAGGGCCATTAAAGCACAACTCATTATAAGGACAAAGGAATCATCCCTGGGATAGGGGTTGGGGAGAAGTCTAAGGACAAGAGGACCTTTGGATGGGATTCCTAAAGTCATACGGTTCCTAAAGGAATAATCTGGCCTCACAATGCCAAATGAAAGGAGACATGTATATGCAACACCCTCAGGAGGCAGTGTTGTTTTCAAAAAAAAATCGAAGCTGCTGAAAACGTAGTAGTTTCTCCTGCACAGACTAAAAAGCAAAAGTCAGCCTGTCGCTAAGGTTACATCATAACCACAAGTGGTCTTGGAAAGAAACCAGTGACTTCAGCTAAGAGTTCTGTTACACGAGTTTGGTTCTGATCAGATCTCAGACAGGTTCACCCACATTCTTGGGATTTTTATGCAAAATGAAAAAGGTTCTATCCAGAACCTAGACTGAGTGAGTTACCAGAAGCCCTTTCTGCAGGGAGAAAATGCATAACACATGCCATACCTTTATGACTAGTGACTCATGCTTCCGGCACCCAAAACCTCATTTTGTATATTAAGGACTGCAGGAGTCTAGGACTGTAAGTCACCCCGCAGACCACATCAGAGAGAAGCATTGTGGATGAACCCCTCCTGACCTGCTTCCCCCACCTCACAGCCCTGGGCCAGGCAACAGCCAGCACTACCATGACATACATGTAAAACAAACTCAGAAATTACAGTCAATAAAACTCACACAAGTTCAATAAAACTCACACAAGTTCAATAAAACTCACACAAGTTCATCCGACACCTATGTAGGAATTTGGGCATAACTATGGCATGAAAATTGGACTAAATGGCAAGTAACTGACACACATGGCTAAAACCTAATTGTTGTGGGTTTTTTTCCCTCTCCTGTCTCCAGAATCAAGGGACAGCTGACACTTGCACCAGGCCAGTCACAAACCTCAACTCTCTTCCATAGACGGCACCTAGCATGAGATTTTGCTTCCTGAGGACCAAGAGGGTGGAGGCCTCACTACAGAGGTTCTGTGAGCCTCAGATCACTGAGCCCCAATGAAGCAGAAGTGGTAAAGAGGAAGACTATCCTCTATCCACAACACAGGAGGGCAAAAGGAACCCAAGGGAACAAGAGGCCAGACCACAATGCCCAGATTAGAGGTTGCCATCCCAGCAGCCACATGCATTATGTGGTGGCCACTGCATTCCACTTAATTGGAAAGAAGAACATGAAGGCAGGGTACCCACAAAAACAAGGTACCTGTTAGCTCACCTCTACTCGGGTCTCACTAGCTAAGGCAAGGATTAAGTGTCCATCCCAGGTTAAGCGAGAATCTTCCCTCATACTCCTTAAAATATTAAGGTTAACAAGAGACATTTCACATCAAAACTAGTGCCATGTACATAATCCATTTAGAGAAGCAGGAACCAAAGCAAAGGGACCCTCAGCCTAGGACCAGACAGACAGATCTATGAAGAAGTCACGACAAGCCATGCAGGTTCCTACGGGAACACCTAATACCCTAAATTTTCATTTCCAATATCCAGCATCATAAACGAAAGTACCTCCTAAATGCCCATTGATCAACAGGACTTTATCATCTTCATGAGATGTAGATGATGCACCAGCTACACAAAATAAAGCAGTCACGTCCCACTGCTGCTATGAAGCTGCAGTACAAACAGAACTGATCCTAGTCTATACCATAGTTGACAAGGCTGATCCGATCACAGATCATACTGAATGAATGGTGTGCATGGGTGCATGTGTGCCCCCTGAGGAACAACGCAACATTTTTTACCCTGGCACAGGCTGGACAAGCACTATACCATCAAGCCATATCACCAGCACAATGTTTTGCTTTGTTTCCCTCAGCGAGGGTCACCACCCAGATGAATACCCATCAGAGCGGCCCTATGAGACCAACTGTAAATTCCAAGTTGGTAAGAGGACTCGCTCAGGTGCACTGCTCATACTGGGACAAGACAAGGGTCTCTAGGAAGGTTTTAGGTTCAAGTGAAACCTAAAGGCTCTGCTGCCAGGTTCAGCTTTTCATTTCCTACCGTGCAAGGCAGCCCAGGCATAACCACACTTGCCATGCGCCTGCTGGTAATAGTGGGAAAGTTCATGGTCCACCTTTATGGCACTAGCTAATAAACAGATAAAGGGATTTCAAAATTTCCAATTTGACTTCTTGGAAACACCCACAGCCTACATGAGTTAAACGGAGTGGCCAGTGCTATGGACAACAACCCCCTTTCTATCAGAGGCCAGGATTCGACATTTTGAGGCTTACTCTACTCAGTGATTTGTTCTAGACTACTTGGCGAAAAAAAGGAACAAACACTGTAGAGTAGCAAACAAGCTGGCGCGCTGGGCAGTAGTATATTGACCTGTGAAGTGGGGACAATGGCTATAACACAAGGGGCTCTTACGTGTTCTCCCAATCCCACATACCTACCTACAACTATCAGGTACCTCCAGCTGTCCTCTGCCAGGCTGTGCCTTGGAAAAGAGGCCCTCAAAGGAATCCCAGAATAGAAATGAGTTTGTGGGGATGGGGGAGGAAACATAAGTGTGACCAGTTACTGGACGCTTCCCACAGCTTACACTTGGAGGCCCTTGGCCTGGCTCCGAAGGTGGGCAGGGGAGAGAGGGAATCCAAGTGGACAGACAGCCAGCTCACAATGCCCAGACATGAGTTTGAGAGCTGCCATCCCAGCAGTCACATGAATTATGTGGTCATCTGGTTCCACTTAATTGGAAGGACTGATGTGAGAGTGGCCCGCAGAAATAAGGTGTCTTAGTTTATCTCTGCTCAATCCCTCACCACAGACGTCTGGGCTCAGGAGAAGGTGGTCTTTCAGGCACACAGTCTTCTGGGAACCTGGAAGAAAACCAAGTGTCTGGAAACCTCATTCAAAGGCAGGAGTTCGGTTTCTGGTTTTGGTCTGTTGGAACAAGGGCACCCCAAGACCTGAGGCTAGAGTCCACTGATTCAGTAGTGCAGGCTGTGAGCAGAGAACTAATTACCATCGGGAAAAGGGCAGCCCCATAAGAGCTCAACATCACAGGCTCATGGCCAGCTCTGTGACGGCGCCAGCATTCCCGAGGCCAGTCCTCCCTCAGACCCCATCTGCCCTTGTCTGCCCAACTTCTACTACCTCCCTGCTCTTGCGAGACAGAAGGGATTTCTACTGGAGAGAGGGAGCTAAAACTCCCTGAAAGGAGGTGCGGGAGCTCTCTGGAGACAGCGCTCAGCGGGAGTCATTATGAGGGTTGACTGAGGTCTCCGTGGTTTCCTCGGAAAGTTAGGCACTGTAAGTGTACAAGATAACTATCGGTGTCCTGCTTACGCAGAGCCTGGGCACCGCTCAACATCCAGCCTTAGAAAACCCTCTTCACCAAAATCACCCATCACACACACTGCCCGCATGAACCCTTTACACTGTTGTCTGTGCATCAGACCAGACCGTGTACCGCCACTGGCCTGCGCAGGCGCCCTGCCCATGGTATGAGCCACACCAGACCCCTACTGCCGCCCCCAGCCCACGTTTTCATCGGAGACCCGCATCTGCGCAGCGCGCTGGGCAAACCGCTGAATTGGCAACTTGCAGTGTATAAAACTGGCTCTGCAAAGAAAGGGGGCCGGCCGCTGCGCCTGACGCGCCCTCAGTGTCCAGGGCAGCTACGACTCCTCAGGCACCCCGCCCGCGCACACTTGTGACTTGCGCTCCTTTCCACACGTCACACTTCAGTTAAAACAACAACAAAAAGTCTTCGGCTGTCACCGTTGATGGGGACCCAGAGGGGGGGTGTCACGGGAACCCCGCGTCCGCCTGCCAAGGGCGGCTTGACCTTCACCGAGCGGGCGCGGGGCTCTACCCTACTGCATTTCGCCCGCGGACAGGTGTCTACCCGGTCTCGTTGCCCCACAGTCGCGACTGGTGCTGCGGTCTATACGGGTCGCGTTTGGACTCCGTGCTCTCCGCGCCACAGCTGTCCCTCTCGATGTGCACAGGACCAAACCTTCACCAGAAGTCAGAAATCCCAACCGATGGAGCCCCGAACCC